AACAAGCATACATCGACATGATGTGTGCCGAGGCTGACGATTTCATTGCCCCGTCGAGACCCCCATCCTTCGCGAGGAGGCCCGCGCCCGCAGGACAGCGCGGCATAACGCCGCCCACGCTGCACGGGTGCCTTTGGCTGCACCCAGAGGGGTGCTTCGAGGGGGGGGGTTCGCCTCCACCTCTTCCTCCCGTCCCCTGGGGTCCCTTGGATGGGAGGCCGATCTCCCTTGTTAGACTCTGTCCAGCCACAGTGCAGTGGTGATTCTGTCCTGTTCTGGCCACGTGCGCTGCTGCCGCTGCTGCCAGGCAAAGGGTTACGGAGTGCGCGCGCGCGCGCGAAGCCCCTCGGCTAACAACGCACCTCCTCCCCCCTGCCTCCTCCTCCTCCCTCCAACCCTCCCCTCCCCGCTCCCCTCCCACCCCCCTCCTCCCCCCTCCTCTCCCCGCCCCTTCCCCCCTCCCCCCTCCCTCCTGCTCCGCGGCCCCTGCACTCGTCCGCCCGTGGGACGACGAGTGGCCTCTATGAGGCCCGGCGTGTGGGGTGCGTCCGTGTCGGCCGCCAGCCTGCGCCCAGCTGGGCCCGAAGCGAGCCGGGCCTGGCCTCCCCCTCTGCAGGGGCCCAGGAGCACGTGTCTTTCTTTTCGGCGTCAGTGGGTACTAATAGGGGGGGGGCCAGAGGGGGGAGTAGAATGTAACGCCTCCCCCCTGCCGTACGCACGACGGCAGTGCCCAGAGCGCACTGGAGGGGGGAAGGGCGTTGCGATATAGGGTGGGGGAGGGGGGGCCGGGGGCTATAATGCCCATTATGCCCCAAGCAATAAAAAAAACACGCTCCAGGGAGGCACAAAGAAAGAGACACACACTCCAAGATCCTCAATATCTCAGCATATTATCTGCATCGTTTCCCCACTGCCACATCCCGTCTGTTCCCACATTGGTTCCTGGGCGTCGACGCTTACTTGTGCCTGTGTCTGTTTTCCCCTCCTGACCCTCCCTCCCTCCTCCAACCAGGGGACTAAAAAATGGACCCCTTTCGTTTTCGACCCCGTGCTCGCCCCCCCCCTTCCCCCCAGGCTCAAAGTTGGCGTCCGGCCTGCTGAAGGCCCTATAGGCGTTCCACCGTTCTTGGTACACTTCAGAACGCCCAGGGCCCACTTGGAAGAGGGGGGAGGGAAGGGGGGAGCGGAACCGAGGGTGCAATCGAGAATGCCCAGGGTCCATTTGGAACGTTGGAATACGGTGGAGGCATTGGATAAGGAATCCTTCGATTAGGAATCCAGGGTCCAGAAGCCAGTGGAAAGCCAATCGTGGATTGGCCACGGATATCGCCGCCGCCCTCATCCGACAAGGAACCCTCTGGGGTATGAAGCCTCCTGGGCACGTTCCTGAACGAACGCCCCCACCGCAGCAGGAGGGAGAGAGAGAAAGAGAGAGAGAGAGAGAGTGAGGGAGAGAGAGAGAGAGAGAAAGAGGGAGCGAGAGAGAGAGAGAGAGGAGGGGAGAGAGGGAGGGGGGGAGGGAGGGAGGGAGGGAGGGAGGGAGAACAAGAGAAAACCCCCAATCACGACACATACCAAGAAAACGAAAACTACGGAAAGAGAGAAAGAGAGAGGGAGAGAGAGAAAGAGAGAGAGAGAGAGAGAAAGACGTACGACAATGCAAAGAAAACAGAAAACATGACAAGGCTTTAAACGGAAAGGAGTATAAAGAAAAACCGATCGTCAAATAGAACCACTTTTCGGCCTCACGTGGGGGGGGGCCTGTGAAACTTGGAGCGCGGCCCGCTGGCTGGACGGGGGGCCACCCCCTCTACGCACACACGAGTGATTCTGGGGTGCGCCGTGGGTTACCGACAGGCAGGCCGCACAACTACAGGTCGGAGGGGTTCTCTTGCAGCATCTGAAGCACCTCTTGGGATGTCACTTGGTTGCGGGGACGTCGGGGTGGATGGAGCATCCGCTCCCCTCAGATTGGAGACCCCAGGTGCCCAGCAGTTTCCAGTGGGAGCCCTTGGAGGCCTTAGCTGCGTCGCCTGTCGTCGTCACCGCCGATTTCGACTAATGTGTGCACCAACCCGCCGACATGGATCCCGCAGAGTGCGGGCGCGGACCGACTCGTCTCCTTGGGGTCCGTCTAGAATGCCTGGCTACCCGCCTCACCGACACACCGCGCCGAGGGAAATGCCACCATCTCACAGGAGCCCACAAAGTCCTACGTGGTAAAAGACGTCCCCCGAAGGCCGCTCCGTCTTCAGAACCAATGCGAAGAAGACCTACCCAGCAGAGATGTGTCGTCGGTTAGCTCTTCCCATATCAGCCTCCATTACGCGTATTTATGCCGATGAGTGTGACGCAGATTGCATTCCAGATCCGGACCCTGCGCTGATTGAGGACTTGCGCGGATTCTATGTTGCCGAAATGGATCGGAATTTGATGCCTGCCCTAGACTATGTCCCATCCTGTGGAGCTCGTTGCAATCACACTGTACGTCGCGCGGACCCAGAACTTCACAGGTTCAAAAAGGATAACGAGATGCACGACGATGAAGGCCCGTCAAGTGGACCCGGTACGACTCCAGAGCTCCCAACGGGCCTTTACATAACAGTTCCTCCGACGCCTGATATGCCGTGTGGGTGTGATCCGAGTCCAGATTCTGAGAAACCCCCACTTTTAGACTCAACAGAGCTCGAACCTGGACTGGAGAAGGAATTTGAAGCAGAGGAGTTTGTAGGGTTTGATTTCCCCCCTCCTCCCCTCTCCCTCCGCCGCCGCTGACGCCGCCTCCCCCTCCGTCTCTCTCCTTGGCGCAGCTTAGCCTCATCGCTGCCAACAGGGCGGAGGCCAAGCGTCGGCGCGAGGCACGTCGCGAGGCGGAGCTCTAGAGACGCGCCCCCTGGCGAGGCTCTCTCAGCTTCGCGGGCCACTTCCAGGCCGGCCCCGCCTCATGCTTCCCTCCGCTTACAGCTCAGGAGGAGTAGGCACAGAGGCCACCAGACGAACACGGACCCAGGCCCCATGTCAGCATAGGACGGCTCCTTTTCAGGCTGGGGCTCTCGCTGAGAAACTCGCTCTCCAGCACGCGTAGCAGCTGCTGCGCGGACTGAGGGCGTTTTTTCTGAGACGGAGCTCTCGCTTGAGACGCTGCTCAGGCTCATCGTCATCGTCAGTCGCGCAGGCTAACTCTTTTTTTTGGCTTTGGACTCCGCGTGGGATCATCACAGGACGCCCGCAGGACGTAAAGCGAAACACGACGCAGCATCAGGCAGAGAACCTAGCCTGGCGCGCGCGCGCACGCAAGCCTTGGGCGCCGCGCCGGCACACGCGCGGCAGGCCGTACCGAACCGCCGCACCCGGACGCACCCTCGTCCTTTCTCGAAATGAAGATCTCGCTGGGCACCCCGTGTGATCATGTTTTCTAGCAGCACGTGCTATTTGCTAGAGAGGACGCGAAGCCGCTTCTTTGAAAACGGGGCTCTCGCCGGAATGGCGAGTCCATAGGGTGCTGGTCTTGCAGGGGCGCACTCACTCCGTGCAGTGAAAAGGAAGGCTTGTACAACTTATGAGGGGGCTTGGGGCGGGAGGGTTTTCCAGCATCGTCGATGCATCATGGGTGTACTCTGGTCCCCCCTGCCTCCTCCTCCTCCTCCTCCTCCTCCTCCTCATCCTCCTCCTCGACGAAGTCTGGCAGACCAGCCCCTCTAGCAATCAGTGGGAAGGGCAGGTGGCCATGGGGTCTTCCTCCTCCTCCTCCTGAATCCTCCCCCTTACTCCTCCCCTTCTCCTCCTTCACCTTCTCCTTCTCCTCCTCCTTCCCTTCCTCCTCCTCCTCCTCCTCGTCCTCCTCCTGCTCCTCTTCTGCCTCCTCCTATTATCATTATTGTTCTTCTTGTTATTATTCTTCTCTACTATTACTACTACCACCACTACTACTACTACCACTACTACCACTATTTTTTCTTCTACTACTACTACTACTACTACCACCACCACCACCACTACGACTACTACCACTACTACTACCACTACTACTACCACCACCACCACCGCCACCACCACCACCACCCACCACCCCACCACCACCACCACACCACCACCACCACCACCACTACCTACTTACTATACTACTACTACACTACTATACTACACGACTACTTACTATACTACTATACTACTACTACGTACTACTACTACTACTTACTACTACTACTACTACTACTACTACTACTACTACTACTACTACTACTACTACTACTACTACTACTACTACTACTACTACTACCTACTACTACTAATAGTACTACTACTTATACTACTACTACTACTACTACTACTACTACTACTACTACTACTACTACTACTACTACTACTACTACTACTACTACTATACTACTACTACTACTACTACTACTACTACTACTACTACTACTACTACTACTACTACTACTACTACTACTACTACTACTACTATACTACAATACTACTACTACTACTACTACTACTACTACTACTACTACTACTACTACTACTACTACTACTACTACTACTACTACTACTACTACTACTACTTACTACTTACTACTTACTACTATACTACTACTACTACTACTACTACTACTACTACTACTACTACTACTACTACTACTACTACTACTACTACTACTACTACTACTACTACTACTACTACTACTACTACTACTACTACTACTACTACTACTACTACTACTACTACTACTTACTACTACTACTACTACTACTACTACTACTACTACTACTACTACTACTACTACTACTACTACTACTACTACTACTACGACTGCGACTACGACTACGACTTTTTTTTGACTTCATTCATTGTGCAACAAACCATCGCGTAGTTCCCACAAGCACTAGTCGTTAAAGACGAATTCCTGAGTCGAGCGCGGAAAATGGCAACGCAACGCTGGGAGGCAAGGGCCGCCCCGAATCGCTGCGATAAAAAGCGCTCAGTCGAGCTAGCATCCTCAAGAGATGTTCAGCCCGATGACCACGATCATCTCGCGGTCGAAGCTCCCCGTGTAGTCCTCGCTTGTGCAGGATGCCTGCTCGTTGAAGTAGAAGTCTTCGATGGTCTCGACCATCCTCCACAAGAAGCTCGCGCGCTTCCATTGAGCTCCTGGGTAGATGTTGGCCATCTGGGTCACTCGCGACGAAGGCGGGCCATACTTGATGTTGTACTTCTTCTCGGCCGAAAGGCGGCAGCGGATGCCCAGAAGCACGGCCCCCACCGTGCGCACGGCGCCGACCAGGCCGCCACCGAGCTCCTCCGCCTCCGGGTCGTCGCCGGCTGGCTGGCGGCCGAGGCCAGACCTACCCATAGGCTCAACGAGTTAAAAAAATAACTCGTTCAAGGTTGTTTTGTTATTTTTTAAGTAGTTTTTATTTTTAGTAGCGTTGTATTTTTAAGTAAGACTTAAATCTCAGACATATTTTTTCTATCACATCGAAAACGTATCAGCTGAGTAGTTCGAACTAGTCGTAGGCCTTCGCTGGCCCGACAGAAAGTCCGCATCCCGCAAGGCCTTCCGCAGGCCCAGGAGGTCCCAACCCGCTATGGAATGGCCTCGAGAGGGTCGGCGGATTTACAGGGGTCGGCGAAACGAGGGCATATAACGCGCGCGGGTGGCCCCAGCGGGAGCTGCGCGCACACGCGCCCGTGGCCCCAGCGAGGGCTGGCGGCGAACAGGGGGCGCCAGGGGAGGAGGAGGTGGGGGGGGGGGAGGAGAAGGAGGAGGAGGAGGAGGAACAGAACAAAGGAGGATAATGAGGATGATGAGGAGGATATGAGGAGCAGGAAAAGTGCAGGCAGGAGTATGAGAAGGGCGACTAGGAGGAGGAGAGGGGGAGAGAATAAGTTGGACGTGGAGGGATAGAGGAGGTGGCGGCGGAGGAAGAGGGAGATACGGAGTACGAGGGCGAGGGAGAAGAGGGCTCAGGAGAGCGCGAGTGAGACGAGGGCTGCTCACCCGCATTTGACCCCGCGGGGTCGGCGGAATGGCGGCTTGCATGTGATCTTGCATGCGTGCTTGTTATTTCCTTGGTGGGGGGAGGGGGTTGCATGGGAGGGGGTCGTGGAGGGGGTGGGTGGTGGGTGGTGGATGGGGTGCTCGTCTGGATGGGGTGGTCGTCTGGTTGGTTTCATGGGGTGTTCGTCTGGATGCTACTTGGGCCTCTAGGGCGTACTAGGCTTCTTGGGCACCTCTGTCTCTATGGTTGTTTGGTTTGGTTGCAATTTTTGGCATTCTGGCTTGGTGGCCTCATCGATTCGGGCGTCTTGGATTTCGTCATGGTAGCGTCTTGGGCCTTCCCAGTCAGGCGCAGGGCTCTCTGTCCCGCCTTGCCGCCCCTGTCCTCTCTCGCATTCGTTGCCATCCGCAACTTCCCCCTCGTGATCCCCCTCTTCCTCCGCCTTCTCCTCCTCCTCGTCTCCCCCCCCCCCCCCTGATCATCCTCACCCTTTTCCCTCGCCCGCTCTTTCCTCGTCCTTCGATCCCAGTCGGCAGCCGTCGATCACCCTTGCTTCCTCCTCCTCATGTGCATCCTTCACCGTCTCCGCCAACTCTCACACATCGCCCGCCCGTCCTCCTCCTCCTCCTCCTCCTCCTCCTCCGTCCTCTCTCCTCCTCCTCCTCCATGGAGTTCCTCCTCCTCCCCCAGCTCCCCCTCCTCCTCCTCCTCGTCGTCGCCCCCCCTCCCCCTCCATTTCCCTTTATCCCCCCTCTCTCCCACCCCCCCCCCCCCACCCCCCCCCCCCCCCCCCCATCTTCCTCTGGTCCGCATCGCCCGTGCCCCGCCACCTCTCAATGTCTCCTCCTCTCCTCCATCCTCCTCCTCCCCCCTCCTCCTCCTCTCTCCTCCTCCTCCTCCCTCCTCCTCCTCTTTCCTCTTCCTCCACCCCCGCCCCGTCTTCCGCGTCCTCCCCCCTCATGTGAGTTTCCTCCGCATCCTTCCCATCTTCCTCATCCGCCTCATCCTGATCCCTCTTCCACCCTCCCCCCCCCCACCCCCTCCCCCCGCTGCGCCTTTGCAGTGGCACTCGTGGATCAGGCGGAGGGAGGAAGACGGGGGCAGGCGGCGGCGGAGATTGATGACATGAGAGAGGGGGGGGGGGGAGGAGGCAGAGGACGGGGGCAAGGGCGAGGAGGAACTATTGAGGAAGGGGGGTGATGCGGAGGGTGGCGATGAGGAGGAGGGGCAGGCGGAGGAGGGGAAGATGGGATGGGCGGAGGGGTGGGGGGTGGGGGGGGGCGGCTGGATCGGATGGGATGTTGAAAGAGAAGGCGGACAAGGAGAACGATGAGGACGGCGAGGATTGGGAAGAGAAGGATGAGGAGGAGGAGGAGAGGAAGGAGGATGAGGAGGAGGAGGAGGAGGAGGAGGACGACGAGGAGCTCTAGGAGGAGGGCCCTCATGGGCCCTCATGGGCTCTCATGGGCCCTCATGGGGCCGCGAGAGGGCCCTCATGGGCCCTCATGGGGCCCTCATGGGGCCCTCATGCGGAGCGGCCTCGCTGTAACTTGTCAGTGGCCGTTTTTCGGCTCAGCCGCTCGGCGACGCCGAGCGAGGCCATTGCGGCGAGTTTTTCGAGACGGCGTGCCCTCTCTTCACTTGGCGATGCCGCGTGGTGATTGCCCTCGCCGTGGCCCCGTGGGCGACGCTGACACTGTCGGCTTGACCAGGGCGTTGCAGTCGTTCGTGGACGCCAACTTGGACGAGGACGCCGCGCGGGAGGACGGTTGCTTGCTGAAGTTGTTCGACCTCGGCGAGCACATGACACGCAAGGGCCCGTCCACCTTCAAGGACCCTCCGAAGATGCGCACGATTGCTCGGAACGCTGATGTGATCAAGATCATCGCGCGGTACAGTCCCAAAGGCGACGGCAACGTGAAGCACGACGAGTTGAGGAGGTGTTTCGCTTCGGTGTTGGAGAGTCGCGCTTCTAGCTCGTACTTCAAGCAGAATGTTCGCCACACGGCTGACATGCTGAGCAACAAGTTTAGGATGATGGTTGCCGACGTGGCGCTTCTCTTGTCTAAGAAGAGCGGCTACAAGCAACTCATCATCGCGTTGCCAGATCGGGCGAGGACGACCTTGATGCAACTGTTGGGCGACGTGGAGACCATCCGCGACTTGCGCTACCAGCAGATCACGGACGGCTTGGAACGCGACGATTTCGACCTCGGCTCCGACAAGTGCGTTACCGAGTTCTGCGCAGCGCCGAAGGACGGCGAGGAGGCGGTGAAGGCCGCTGGCGAGCCAGCCGACGAGATCGCGGCGGAGCCCGCAGCCGCGGACGAGGCAGTTGCAGCGTTCGAAACCATTCAGAGAGGACCCAGGACCTGCTCAGGAAAACTATGAGGATGGAACGGCGGCGGGGGAGGAGCAGGGGGAGGAGGAGGAGGGGGAGGAGGGGGGAAGGCGAGGGAGGGGGAGGGGGCAGGGGGAGATGGAGGAGGATGGAGGGACGGGGGAGCAGGATGGAGAAGACGGCAGGAAGGAGAATGATGAGAAGGATGAGGATCCTGCAGCGGAGGGGCCATAGGGAGGAGGAGGAGGAGGAGGAGGAGGAGGAGGAGGAGGAGGAGGAGTTAGACGAGGAGGAGGAGGATGAGGAGGAGGAGGAGTGGCCACGGCGCTGACGCTGATGGCGGCAACGCGGTGGTGAGGGTGGAGCTGGAAGCTACGGTGGTGGGGATGGGAGCCATGAGGCCGCGTCTTGATGCTTGCCACCGTCGTCGTTTGACGCGCGATGGCGGCGAGCGTCGAGACGCGGCCTCATCGCCCCCGTTGGTCGGGCTTGGTTTCGTACGATTGCTCCTGCCTGCAGGTACCTGGCGCGGCCCCCTCGAGTGGCGTCGGCGTCGGCGTGGCGTTGGAGTTCGACGTTGGCAGCGGCTTCGGCTTCCTGAAGTCCGCGCGGGCCAACGCGGGCAAGGGCAAGGGCAGTGGCACTCTGGCCGAGCAGGAAGGGTTCGCGGCGCGTGCCATCAAGAAGGGCGTCAAGAAGGCCCACGTGAAAGCCGCGACCAAGGCCAAGGCCAAGGCTAAGGCCAAGGCCAAGGCCAAGGCGCGCGCGAAGGTGGTGGCAAAGGCTTCGGTTGCTAAGGACTCGTCTTGGTGGTCGGAGAAGGTCTACAACGCCCGCGTCGTGCAGGCGAGCAGCCCGAAGCGGACGTGCATCGTCGGCAGTTCCAAGAGCAACCCGACGAAGAAGCGCTTGATCACGGAGATCACCGAGGCGCAGCACCAGGACCATTCTAGGTTGGCCCACCGCATCTTGGTGCGGATCGAGAAGGGCAGCGTGAGCAAGCACGACGCGCTGAAGCTTCGCGCGGAGATGCTGAAGTGAAGGTGCTGGCTGCAGGCTCGCCGCGTTCAGAGGTCCGCGTGCTCCTGGGTGGGAGATTCGGTCCGAGGACCATCGAATCCTTGATTCGGGCCCGCTGGCTGGCCCGTGAGTGGATGCGGAGGAGGAGGAGGATGAGGAGGAGGAGGGGGAGGAGGAGGAGGCGGAGGAGGAGGAGGAGGGAGTGGATGAGGAGGGGGAGGAGAAGGAGGAGGAGGAGGAGGAGGAGAGGGGGAGGAGGAGGAGGAGGATCAGGAAGGGGATTAAGGGAGAGGAGGAGTAGGAGGGAGTAGGATGGAGAGGAAGATGCGGAGGGCGAGGCGAAACAGGAGGATGAGGAGGAGGATGAGGATGAGGGAGAGGATGAGGGCGAGGAGGAGGGGGAGGAGGATGAGGAGAGGGAGTAAGAGGGAGGAGGAGGAGGGAGAGGATGAGGATGATGAGGCGAGGGGGTAGGATGAGGGAGAAAGAGGGAGAGGGAGATGAGGCGAGGGAGAGGAGGATGAGGGAGAGGGTGAGGATGAGGGAGCAGGAGGGAGGCGAACGCTATGCACGCTTCAACGGCAGGTCGGCGCCCCCACCCCCAACGAGCGGAACGCCGATGCTGAAGTCCCGATGCGCTCGCATTGACCTCGGCCGACGCTTCGGGGCGCCTGAAAAAATGCACAGCCCTTGAGATCCAGAGTTTTTTTTTCACAGGCCCACGTGGGCCGCTCGCCCACAACGTCTCCGACGTGCCCCTCCCGCCCCAAACTATCCCCCCCCCCCCCCTCCCCTCCTATCCCCCCTTTCCCCTCCCCAACTCCCACTCCAACTCCTTCTGACCCCGTCCTCCGCCTATCCCTTCCACCCCCTTTCCTCCAGCCCCTCCTCCGTCATTTTTGACATGTCTGCAAGTTTCTGGGCCGAGCCTCAGCGATGGCGTTTGATTTTGGAGATGCCGTTTTCACGGTTGACGCTGCCCTCAACCAA